CTGGGCTCCGGCGATCCTTCTGCCTCAGCCTTCCAAGTAGCCGGAACTACAGGCGCCCGCTACCACGCCTGCAATTTTTAAAAATTTATTTATTGTAGCAATGAAGTCTTGCCAAGTTGCCAGGGCTGATCTTGAACCCGCGGGCTCAGGCGATCCACTCCCCTCAGCCTCCCAAAGTGCTGCGATGACAGGCTGAGCCACCGAGCCTGACCACAACCTGCAGATTTCAATGACTGAAAATAACTAAGGCTTGTCTATTTCTCAGTCACGCGAGGCGCCCGTTGCAGGTTAGCAAGGGGGGCTTTTGCGCATTGTATTTGTTCAGGGGGATTCCGGATGACAGAACAGCCATCTCAAACACTGCCGGTCGCCACACCTGAGGGAAAAGGGCACTTGGAAGGGTCTCACACTGGCCTAAATGCTCTGACCCGGAAGTGACGCTTGTCACATTCCTTCACAGACCATTGCCAGAACTGCTCATGAGGCCTCCCAAGATATGAGAGGTAAAGAAGAACAGAAAATACTGCGTCAGCAGTGCTTGGGAAGCAGTGAGCTCCAACAAGCCTGTGGAGGCTGGAAGCAGCTGGAAGGTGGATTGAGAGACATCAGTACAGGGAAACAATGTATTCTATTCGTTGTTCAATAGCCCTTGCCAGCAGAAAGTAATTTTATAGCCGAACCGCAAGAAAGAAAAATTGCCAGCACACCGGGTTCGAATTTTGAGTCCTTTAATAGCTCGTGGTCGAGAGTAGGCTCACGCCAAGAAAGCTCTCGACACTGAGTGGAATCAGCAAGAAACTTATAAAGGCAAAACCCACAAGTGGGCTACATAGCAGGGGGTGAGGGTACAAAGGAACTAAAACCAAAAGGAACAATCTCTTGGATTTCAGTTACCAAGGCATACACTTACACGGAACTTGTGGTTAGGGAGTTTTCAAATGGTCAGCAGGAATGGTCAGGGTGAACGGCTCAGGGGAACAAGGCTGTGGGTCTGTGGTCATGGGAACATTACAGCAATCACATGTACACATGGGGGGGTCATCTTTAGGTCAGGCAGACAGTTAAGATGGAGGATTTTAACAAAATGGAGTTACTTATGTCAAGCAAGCTATTATAACCGTTTTAGATACTTCGTTAGATATTTCAGTAAAATGGCACCGAGTAAAGATATTTCAGGTAGAAAGCAGAAGTGCAGTCAGAAAGGTGAAAGCAAAGGCTGTAAACACTCAGGAAAGAGCATCACAGCTCAGCAGAACGAGTGGCAGCTTCCGGAAAGAAGAGGCATCTGATCTAGGCTTTAAGGATGAGTGGACCGGGCGTGGTGGCTCATGCCTATAATCCCAGCACTTTGGGAGGCCAAGGCAGGGGGATTGCTTGAACCGGGAGTTCAAGGCCAGCCTGGGGAACATAGTAAAACCTTGTCTCTACAAAAAATTAAAAATTTAGCTGAGTGTGGTGGCGTGCACCTGTAGTCCCAGCTACTTGGGATACTGAGGTGGGAGGATCATCTGAGCCCAGGAGGTCGAGGCTATGGTGAGCCATGATTGTTCCACTGCCCTCCAGCCTGAGTGACAGAGTGAGACTCCAACTCAAAAAAAAAAAAAGGAAAAGGGAAAGAAAAGGATGACTGGGAGTCAGAGGTGTGAAGGTTGTATTTCAGACCGAGGGGTCCCTATAAGTGAAGGCCCAGAGCAGAGGACTTCCTAGGGGCTGCCACCACCCTGAATCCAGGGGAGAAAGTGAACCCCCTGAGTTCAGTAGCCATCTTGCTTGCACTGGTCAGCCCAGGTGGAATGAAGGACCGCTGCCCCGGGGCCCTGCCGTCCCCTGCCCTGAATCCCACTCTGGCAGGCTCTCACCTCACTGCTTAGCTCTCGCCAGTCGCCTCTGCTGGGAGCTGGCCCGGCTGCCCCTCTCTCCAAAGCTGGCGTGGCACCTGTTCCTCCGATTTTGAGACTCAGCCTAGCTGCATCCCCTCCCTGGGCTACTTCTCAGCCAAAAGTCAGCCGCTCAAGACTGTATGATCCGTGCAGCAACCTGCTCCCTTCAGGGAGAGCCCTATCCAGATGTCAGATTCCCTGGTAGAGGCACAGGTTCGGCCTCTCCCTGGCTGTCCTCTGGCCGACTCGCAGTGGCAAGCCCACAAGGAGAGCCTAGTGGCAAAGAAATGGGCAGACGGTAGCTGCAGTCTACTCAAGAAGGGCAGCAGTAGGCTGGGTGCAGAAGTGTAATCCCAGCACTTTAGGAGTCCAAGGCAAGAGGATTGCTTGAGCCTAGGCAACACAGTGAGACCTCATTTCTACAAAAAAATCTAGCTGCTGTGGTGGCATGCACCTGAAATCCCAGCTACTCAGGAGGCTGTGGCCGAGAATCACCTCAGCTCAGGAGGTCAGGGCTGCGGTGAGCTGTGATGGTGCTACTACAC